CTTGGACCCCTCTTCGGGGAATTTCTGGCACCGCCCCTGCCCGGGCCTCTATTTCTGTGAAAGTCCCTCCCTAGACCCTATTGTGTTATTAATTATTGAATCGTTATGTTATTCTGATAGGTACTTTGTACAGGAACCAGTTCACTTCGTTACTTATCGGTCTCTTATTTGAGTTAGATAAAATTATGTATTATAAATTATGAAAGACCCCCTATTTCGAATTCCTGAACCGGCTCGGCCCCCCCTCCCCCATATGTTAAGTTCTTCCCTTCCCCCTCTATTTAAAATTCCTGAATCCGCCATTATTTGCAAGTCGCAAATGTGCAAGCACTTTACGAAGATTGCACACCTGTACGCGCAAGATGACGCAAAAGCGCCTTGCAGCGCTTGCGTTAATATAACGCACATTTGACACAAATATCGAAATTTCTAAACTGTAAACGTATTCGCTTCAAAACAACAACAAAGGGATTTATTGCTTTCCCTACCATGTTTCCAATCAGAATTTTATGAATTCTCGATTATACAGGCCTATATTGTTGACGTTTACCCATGTCATCCACGGCGTAAAGCGGTTGAAATTATTTGCGATTTCCATTAATTACGTAATTTATATTTTATGTAATAATTTTTAATAAATTGGAAATTGAAATTGAATATTTCTTTCACGCTTAAATGTAATGATGTTTTATTTATCTTGTGCTAAAATTAATGACATTGCCATAATAATTTAATTTAATTTATTTAATTTTGTATAGATGAGTTTTCTTAATATATCAAAGTTGCTATATTCATCGTTAGGCCTATCAAAAATGTTGATAGATACATTGGAAAATAAAAACACTGAATAATGTTGTAAAGCGGTTGAAATTATTTGCGATTTCCATTAATTCCAATTGTTTGTAATATAACATTTACATTTATGGTAACAATTTAGTATTTTCAATGCCCAATTATGTTATAGGCTGTTTTCATAGTGCACTAGACCTACATTGGTTCGTAGGTTTCAATCCAATTAAGAAATCTTGCGCAATATTTGGCAGACAAAATTCATAACCTGAAAATCACGGACTCTGTGACCTACCTCGGGGTCACACTAAATTGCAACCTAAAGGAAAATTCTCCCGTTAAATAGAACTCGTAAATCCCAGAAAGCCGCCTTTTCCTTACAAAGTATTGGCATGTGTAAACAGAGCTCTTGTACTGAGGTGAAACTTCATATTTGGAACACTGTACTTGTTCCTATACTTGTACAGTATTATGGTCGCCTATTTCTGCATGATATGTATGTATGTATGTGTATATGTGCATATGTACGTGGGCATGTATATATATATATATATATATACACATATATATTCAATCGGTGTTCTTAATGTGGATCCACGTATGTCTCATCGTAGGAATAAATCAGTAGGTAGACGCAGACAAAATAAACTGCTACGATACTTTGACTTGTAGGAGACATAGAAATATTTATTAGCGAAATTTTGGTCAACTCCTGTTACCTTCGTCAGCGCATGAGTATCAATGAGCTCATTGATACTCATGCGCTGACGAAGGTAACAGGAGTTGCCCAAAATTTCGCTAATAAATATTTCTATGTCTCCTACAAGTCAAAGTATCATAGCAGTTTATTTTGTCTGCGTCTACCCACTGATTTATATATATGTGGCAAAGACAAGCCAAACCAGTCACTC